CACCACACTTCACCAGGGGCTCCCTAAAGGATACCAAAATCACCTTTTTGACATAGTATAAATTGAAGAGCACAGAATTCTTCAGGGAAGGATTAGAGAGATGGAAACACCGCTTTCAGAAAAATATAGACTTAGATGGAGGCTATGTTGAGAAACAGTTGCTTCACATTTTGAAATTTTTGTTTAATAAAGGTTTCGATGATTTTGTATCAATCTTTTTCTACTTACCTGCTGGCATACATGCCTGTGTGTGTGAGTGTCATTTAAATATTCTAACTGTCTGTTTCCTAGCCTCCAGAATGTAACTCCTTGAGGACAAGTCATTTTCCACTGCTGCATCACAGCACACAGTTGGTTATTAATAAATACTTACAGAATGCATTAACTGTGCTCTGATGTTTATGTTATTATAAAGTAATCATAAAGATTTGATTGCATTTAATCTTTTAACTTTAAAATTCCATTTACAAACTTAAGTATAAAACCTGCCCTAGTGGAGTCCAATGACATATTCTGAGAGATTCATGAGTTCTCAAATCTGAAAAACGCTAGTTTAAAGAAATGCCTTGTGAACATTTATGAGAGGGGATGGACACTAACAATTAGGATCAATATATAGTCAGTGAAGGAGCTCTGGTAGCTTAGTGGTTATGAATCAGGCTGCTAAACTCAGGGTCAGCAGTTCGAAACCACCAGCAGTTCCATGGGAGAAAAATGAGGCTTTCTGCTCCCGTAAAGATTTACAGCCTCAGAAACCCTGTACAGGGTTGCTATGAGTCGGAACCGACTCCACAGCACATAACAACAACAACATATAGTCACTGAAAGTAAATCATACTAAAATGTACTACTATTTTTAAAAGTAATTATAAATGGTAAGATTTATTTTAAATGCCATTGATATGGTATGTCTTAATTTCAGAAACATTATTTTTTAGATCACTTTATGATATGCTTCTGAACATCAAAGTCAAATGTCCACTGAAAGTAGAGTCAATTGGATTTGTTTCATGATAAGCAACAATAGCAAAGAATGCTATAGTGAAAGTCATGCAGAAAGTGGTTTCTAACAGATGCCAGAAGACTCTGTCTTCCCTAAAACTGGTGAACATATCAATGGTTTCAAAGAAAGATGTAAAAGACAAGTTTAACCTATTGGCAAGTGATGTATACTCAAATATTGTATCTAAAAATGACACACTAACAATCATGATTGAAACACATGGCAGGCAAAAAATGAGTCAAAACCAACAGGTTAAATTATTATAATGATAAACGTTAAGTCATACATAGAATGCTAAAAACATGAGGTGCAGAGCTGAATTAGACTGGGCAGCCCTTCAAATGGAACAAAATCAGAGGTTTTCTTTTGACTGGTCAATGCCAAACTTATCACCAAAGGGATATGGTATATTTCAAAAGGCAATACAAATTGGGGCTGATTTAGAAGACATATAGGGTGAACTACAAACATAAGAAAAAATACTGCTATAGTTGTTTGTTTGCAACCTGGGGTTCTGTATAGGGTGTTACATTTAAAAAGGGATCCTGGTATGGCACTGTAGGATAAGCACTGGTCTGCTAACTGTAAGTTTAGCAGTCCAAACTCACCAGCTGCTCCTCAGAAACCCTATCCAGGGTTGCTATGTACTGAACCTACTCTACAGCACTTAACAACAACATTTACAAGGGACAATGTTCACTGGAAAATAACTACATGTAAAAAGAGCTCTGAGGTTGAAATGGATTTTAGCTTAAACAAAGTTAAAAGTCCTTTCCTGCATAACTTCTTAGAACCTTTATCATGCTAATATTCATTGTGATTTCCACCAAGATCAGTGTGTGTATTTAGAGTTGGGGATTTGAGGGGGCTTCAAAAAGTTCATGGAAAGATAGAATGAAAAGGCAATGGGATTTTTCCATGAGCTTTTTGAAGCAACCCTCATAGAATGTTCTATGTCTGAACTTTTTGAACATGAAACTCTTTCTTCATGACAAGTCTACTTACTGTCTCAGCACCAGTTGACTATTTTGCAGGACCAGAGATGTAAGCCACAGTGTTGGGAAACAGTTACCTAGACCTGTGAGTCAAGAGGGCAACTAGAGCTGATGCAGGTGAGCCCCTAGGACTGCGAAGGCTGATAGGAAAGCCGCACTATAAGCAGAAAAACGGAAGTACTTGAAGTCTTTTTCCTAGAAAAAGAGAAGAACGAGCCTTGCAAGTATACAAATGGCTGACAGAACAACAAGGGGATGTATTTGCTCTATATTGTCCTAGCAACTAGATCAAAACAATATCTGTCTTAAGGTGGAGAAATAATGCTTTTTACATATTCTCCACAAAACCTTTACCTAGAGAATCTAATATTTGCTCTAAGGGGCAAAATTGTTGTTGTTGCTATGTGCCGAGGAGTCGGTTCCGACTCATAGTAACCCTGTACAGGGTTTCCGAGGCTGTAAATCTTTACAGGAGCAGAAAACCTCATCTTTTTCCCGTGAAACAGCTGGTAGTTTCGAACTGCTGACCTTGCAGTTTGCAGCCCGATTCGTAACCACTACACTCCCTGAATCCCAGAACAGGGAGGCTAATTGAATCTTCAGGAGAAAGAAGGTTTTGACTCACAGTGACCCTATGTAGGGTCTCTAAGGCTTTTTGCAAGAACATAAAGCCTCATCTTTCTCCCGCGGGGTGGCTAGTGGGCTCAAACCTCCAACCTTGTTCACAGTCTGGCGCTTATGCTGCAGAGCTACTGCATTTCCCATATTTAAAGTAGGATAGTGAATTAAATTCTTGCCCTTGAATCAATTCTGATTCATAGTGACGTCGTGGGACATAGTAGGATTTCCAAGGAACTGTCCCATAGGATCTCTAAGGCTGTTAATCTTAGAGTGGCTGGTGTGTTTGAACCAAGGACTCTTCAGTTAACAGCCAAGTGCTTTAACAGCTGTGCCACCAGGGCTCCTTGGATATTGGATTACTGAATTCCAAAAGTCATTTCCAAAATGGCATACTAGTAGGTCAGGCTGTAACTTCTACAGTCTCGCTCATCCCTGTACCTCCCAACAAAAACCCAGCATGCAGTAGTAGTAAATGGCATACTAGTAGGTCAGGCTGTAACTTCTACAGTCTCGCTCATCCCTGAACCTCCCAACAGAACCCAGCATGCAGTAGACTCCAGAAATACTGGATGGATGCACATTTGAACAAATTGAAAAAAAAAGTACTGGTCCCAAATTCATGTAAAATTGGAATACGTTATTTTAATTTTTGGAAATTGCTAAATTCACTAACCATGAATAATAATCAAAGATTATCTACAGATATAAGAAAAAAAATTTTTTTAAAGCCAACGAAAACAAACCAGTTGCCACTGAGCTGACTCTGACTCGTGGCAATCTGGCATGTGTTAGAGTAGAACTGTGCTCCACAGGGTTTTCAATGACTGGTGTTTTAGAAGTAAATTACCAGGACTTTCTTCTGCGGTGTCTCTGGGTGGGCTTGAACTTCTAACCTTAGGTTAATCAGTGAGCACATTTTAAACAGAATGCACCACCTAGAGACTCTTCAAGAAAAGAGTCTTGTAATAATTTCACTTCTTGACTGAGAAATCAACTCTGAATTAAATCACCCACAGGTAATTTAATTGCCTGTGATGTCTACCGATAAGTATGTAAAAAGGCACTACAGGCTGCAAATGACAATTAGAAGTCGGGTTGTCTTGTAGGAAACGGATGTGGAATCTGCCCTGGGAAACAGGATAACTCAGAGAGCTGGAAACTAACCTTGATATGAAACCCACTCTTTATGACCACAGCTCTGAAAATGTCCATTCACAATAAGGTTTGTTTTTATCAGGAGACGCCACGTTGTTTTGTTGTTGTTGCTGGCCCATCAAATTGGTCCAACTCTTGTCAACCCCATGCATAGCAGAATGAAACGCTGTCCAGTTCTGCACCATCCCCAGGATCAGTTGCTGACTGGACCATGGTGATTCAGCAGAGTTGTCACTGGCTGATGTTTGGAAGCAGCTTTCCAGGAGTTTCTGCCTAGGCCTCACTTCTTAGTCTGGAAGTGCTGCTGAAATCTGTTCAGTATCCAAGTAACACAGAGGCCTCCAGTGGCAAATGAATGGTGGCTTCACATGAGACGCACTGGGTCTTTTGCATGGCAAGTAAGAAGTCTACCATTGCTCCTGAACAATATATACTAGGGGACTTCAAAATGTTCATGGAAAAATTCCATTATCTTTTCATTCCATTTTTCCATTCATTACCTTTCAGAAACCCCACAGTATAACTTACTTTAGAGTACTTTCAAAAATGTCGTTACATTCTGATTGACCTGGTAAGTTAAGCAGCTTAGGATAATATTTAAGCAATTCTTTTGTCTTGAGATACCAAATTCTTAGCAAAGAATACGTACAAAAATGGGCCTTTAAATAAATAAATAAAAAAGTCCTTGAAACAAGAATATCCTTCTCTCAGTAGATCTGAAAACTCTACTACCAAGCACCATATTCATATCCATTTCCTACAAGATGATGGCGTCTTTCAAAATATAGCTGTCATTTCTCCACAGTGACTGATCAAACCTGCTACTGAAAAATGTTCTGAACAGGCAACTTGTAGTACAAGCATGGTTTATTTCTGTCAGAGACTGATTGTTGAAGTGTGAAAGAAACTCATTAAAAACCCCTTACTGTGATCTTACATTATAAAAAGAAAAGAAAAAAAAATAAAGAAAGAAAAGGCAAGGGAGAAAACTTAATGAAGGGTACATTGAGCCTGCAGACACACTCACAGGGCGCTTTTCTTTCTTATTCTTCTGTAGTAGGCAATTATAAGAGAGCAATTAGTGTGGGGAATACAGCACACACTGCTTGTGTGAGGGAATCTAATAAGTTAACAATTTTATGCTAATAATATGAAAAGTTAATAAAGGCAATCAAAATATTGTGCTCTAGGAAAAAAGATGCAATATAAACAGCCATCCTGTTTACCTTAATCTTAAAACGAGGTTCACAACACAAGAAGCTTCTCTGTAGTCTTCACTAGCATTGGGTTGGCCCTTTAAAAACAAAAGGCAAACATGGTTAGGAACTTCGTAAGGAAATAAGTGAGGAAAATCACAACAGCACTGGATTCGACACAACCCCTTTCTTCCTGACAATCTCAAAACTAGCTCTTAACATTTGGGCCTTCTTGGGCCTCACAACAGCTCAGTATGAGGGACTGAATCATAATTCACAGCACAATTATGGGTATGAAGGCTTCATAGTAAGGTGGGAGCTTTGAACAATTGGTATAAGCTGCAGTAAATCCACAGATGAAGGGCCAGACATTTGAAATGGTACCTCGCAAACTGAGCCACAGACTACATTACCACTTTACCCTTGTTGTTGTTACGTGCCATGGAGTCAGTTCCGACTCATAGCGACCCTGAACAGGGTTTCTGAGGCTGTAAATCTTTAAGAGAGCAGAAAGCCTCATCTTTCTCCCACGGAACAGCTGGTAGTTTTGAACTGTTGACTGTGAGATTAGCATCTCGATTCATAACCACTATGCTACCAAAGCTCCTTACCCCCTTCAGACTTAAGGAGGTACAAATGTTGAGCACCATGAAACTTCATAATGAAGAGAAATGTGACACATAGTAGATTAAACCAGCGTGTATCTTTCCTGTGTACTCACCTAGAGCTTACTCCCTTGAGTACAGACAGTCAACCAGAAGTGTCTCTACTGCCTGACTCCCCCGTCCCTACCAATTTCTAGACAAGTCAACCTTTTTGTTAGAGAAGGAACAAAGGAAGTTCAGGTCAAGATTTAGTTCTGCCAATGACTAACTATGAACCACTGTGCTCATTTGCAAAATGGGGAGAACAGCTTTCTCAAAAGATGGGTGGGAAAACAAAAATCATAGCTGATATGCTATATACAACATTAATTACTTTAATTCCTTTTCCTGTTTCCTTTACTATCTTGGTCTAAAACTTACATTATCCCCCAATTGACCTTTTATCATTCAACGAACACCTACATTTTATCTGTACTGAGTTCCCTGATACAGTGCAAAGGCTTAAGGCCTCAAACCAGTTGTGTTAAGTTGGGCAAACCACTCAACCTCTGTAAGTCTCTGAGTCATCAGCTTACAGAACAAGGGTCCAGAAGTAGATTATTGTTGTTGGTGGTGTTGAGTCAGTTTGATTCATAGTGACATTATGCACAACAGAACAAACAAGGTTCTTGCACCATCCTTGTTGTTAAGTTTGAACCCATGCTGCAGCCAACCGCCTCAATCCATCTTGTTGGAGGTCTTAGTCTTTTTTGCTGTCCCTGCACTTCACCAAGCACTGTGTCCATCTCCATGTACTAGTCCCTCCTGTCAACAAGGCCAAAGAATAAGACAAAGTCTCGCCATCCTCGCTTCTAAAGAGCATCATTACATGCTGTTTTTCCACCACAGATTTGTTTGTTATTCTGGCAGTCCATGGTACTTTAAAAATTCTTCTCCAACACCATAACTCAAATGTATCCATTCTTCTCCAGTCTTCTTTATTCACTGTCCTATTTTCACATGCATAGAAGTGACTGAAAATAGCATGGCTTGGGATTCGCACACCTTATTCTTTAAACTGACATCTTCACTCTTCACCACTTTAAAGAAGACTTTTGCAGCAGATTTGTTTAGTATAATATGTAGTTTGGTTTCTTGACTGCTGCTTCTGGGAGTACTGATTATGGATCCAAACAAAATTAAGTCTTTGACAACTTTAATCTTTTTTCCATTTATCGTGATGTTATTTATTGGTCCCGTTGTGAGGATTTTTGTTTTCTCTACATTGAGGTGCAATCCATACTGAAGACTACAGTCTTTGATCTTCATCAGTCTTTTAAGTCACCTTCATTTCCAGCAAACAAGGTTGTGCTAGATGCTTATCATGAGTTGTTAATGAGTTTTCCAACAATCCTGATGCCATCATATAATATAGCTTCTAGATTATTTTCTCAGAAGATTGCTCATACAGATTGAATAAGTGTGGCCTGGTGAAAGGATACAACTCTAGTGCACACTTTTCCAAATTTTAAAACATGTAGTATCCCTTCTTTCTGTTCTAATAATTGTGTCTTGGTCCATGTACAGGCTCCTCATGAACACAATTCAGTGTTCTAGAATTCTCATTCTTCTCAATGTTATCCATAGTTTGTTATGATCATGAATTTGCAAGTCAATAAATCATAAGCAAACATCTTTCTGGGATTCTCGGCTTTTAGTCAAGGTCCACTTAACATCAATAACAATATCCTTTGTTCCTCGTCCTCTTCTGAATCCAGCTTGAATTCCTGGCAACTCCTTGTAGATGTACTGCTGTACCATTTTTTAAATTATCTTCAGCAAAATTTTACTTGCATGTGATATTAATAATATTGTTCTATGACTTTCCCCATTTCATTAAGGTACCTTTCTTTGGAATGGGCACAAATATGGATCTTTTTCAACTGTTCAGCCAAGTTGCAGTCTTCTAAACTTCTTGGCATAGATGAGTGAGCACCTTCAGCACTGTATTAGTTTGCTGAAACATTTCAATTTGTATTCTATTAATTCTTGCAGCCTTGCATTTTGTCAATACCTTCAGTGCAGTTTGGACTTCTTCCTTCAGTATCACTAGTTCTGGATCATATGCTGTTTCTTGAAATGTCTGAGCATCGATCAATACTTTTTGCTACAGTAGCTCTGTGCATTCCTTCCATCCCTTTTGATGGTTAGATTGTTGTTGTTGTCAGGTGCCATCGACCCCATGCACAGCAGAATGATACAATGTCCGATCCTGGGCCAACCTCACTACCACTGCCACATG